ATGAAAGGAAGGTGCTAAAATATTAAAAAAAAACTTGGATTCTGGATTAAAGGCCTGAACTAGGAGCATTGTAACATATAAGGATAACCACTGAGCTGTTAAATTTGCTGTGATGACCACATCCATTGTCGAAATTAACACTTTATTTCGATACCGTAAACACCAATCAAGGTGAACTGAACGCATGTTTAAAGCAACTCACTTTCAGCGCCGGCTATTCCGAGATGGAAACAAATTTCCTCTTTCATAAGTATGACAAGGACGGCGACAACATGTTGGATTTCGTGGAATGCCGTCGGATGCGGGAAGAAATGTCTCTGGGAGTAAGCTGGTTCATTACCGTTCCACAGCTAACCTTACCCAGATTGCATTCCAGCCTGCTGACTCTGATGATGAGGATAGCCACTTTGAAGACCACGAAAAAAGCCAACAAGGGTCTGACAAAAACCTGGTAAAACTGGTTTGTCAACTTTGACTGCAAGGCTCCGACTTCATCTTTCCATTGAACTGCATCCTTTCCCTAGTTTGCTGAACTTGAGGACTGTGAAGAGCTGTTTGAACGCATAGCGGACGTGGAGAGAAACGTCAACACAGCGGTGAAGCAGATTTGCTTCATTTTGGGCAAACTGCAAAGCGCCGAGCGGCACAGAAGAGAGGACGAGCACACTCTCATGAAGAGCATACTGTGACTCTCCATTGCTACTCCACTCACCCTCCATCATATGCAGTAGTACCACGCACCCAAATTGCCTTGACTGAATAGATGCTGCTGATATTCAATGGAATAATGTACACCTATAAGACTCAAATATCCTACCTCTACGGAAAATTTGACAATCAATGACATGGGGAAGTACTTCGGAATTGATGAAAAACAGTAATAACAGTTATTGTACCAAAAGTTAACATCCAATTGAATAGGAAAGGGGAGAGGGGCAGCAGTTGAGAGTTTAGTCGATGGACATGTTGACATGATGGTTTTCGGACAGAGGCTGGGCGACTCGCTTTTTGGGTTCTGAAGCCTCTTTCTGCTTCTCCAGTTTACCCTTTACAAGCATTGTATGAGCCGTCGAGACCTGATACGTCGACGCACCTACTAACACCGTAGAAGGTGCCATCCTCGGCTTAATAAGCCAAAGCGTACATGATTAACACAACGAACTTTACAGGGAAAAAGTGAAACAGTGAAACTACCCTCTTGTCTAGGGTCATCTCTTCCGTCGTGGACCCTTCATCAACCGCGTCCATGCCTAGTTCGCTGTCGGCAATGGCAACCACAGCATTAAATACTTCAGCAAAAGCCGGGGGGATTTTGTCTATCGGTAGGCCAACAAACTCCTCACCAACCGCAGGTACCAACTCTTCATCAAGGTCGGCAAAGTAAGGATGCAGAAGAGCCTGCTGCGCATTTATGCGAGACGATGGATCATAGAGGAGAAGCGCCTGTGATTAAAGGAAGAGGCAGACACTTGCGAGTCAGCATTTTATAAGAGTATAACAACACTACCCATTAAATAAATTTGTAAGTTTTAATGATTACTAAAAAGTGGGAAAAACCTAGGGAAGCAACTGCTATGGAAGATTAGAAGGACAAGAGGAACGCAATGGTCACTCACATTTAGTAGATCAAGACCCTTTGCGTCAAGTGAACGCGCAATCTTCTCCTGAGAGCAGAGACTATTGACGCGCCAAGATGGAAAAGATTTGGGATTATAATCACGCAACTTTGTGACGCCCGGCCAATTATCCTCTGTTGGTACGCCCATTATTCGAAATATGTGGAAAAGTTGGTCAATCTCAGAGTCGCCACGAAACAGTGGGTCTCCGGTTGCTATTTCAGCAAACATACAGCCCATAGACCACATATCAACACCACAACAATAGACACTCTCGCCTAGCAGAATCTCAGGGGATCGGTACCACAGCGTGACGACCTGATAACATCTCCGCTTAGTTTTAGAAAAGATAATTTACCTCGTGAGTCAATTTGCGAAGCGGGTAACCAAATGACCTAGCCAGACCGAAGTCAGCCAATTTTACAATGTTCCTATCGACATCGACAAGAATATTTTGGGGCTTTAAATCACGGTGGATAATGCGCCTTGCGTGGCAATACAGAAGGGCTTGAAGCATTTGATACATGAATGACTAAATGGGGAGAGATCCAATACGGGATCCTACTTTAACGGTGGTTGTAGCCAACCCAATGGCCTTACAATTGTGATCTAAATATCGCCTAAGATCCACAGTTAAATATTCAAAAATTAGGTATAATCGGCCTCGATCAAGGATGACCTGCTCCAAGCTAAAAAGAATTGCGAGCTTTCAGAACATACGTTACAATGTTCGGGTGCTCCAGTTCTTTGAGAAGTGCAATTTCCCTAATAGCTGTCGAAGGCACACCTTCATCAAAGTTTTCAAGCTTAATTCGCTTCATTGCTTTAAGCTGGCCAGATTTTCGATTTCGACATTTGTACACAATTCCATATGTACCTAGGCCGATAGCATAGATATTTTCACCATACCTTCGCCAATTTTTTCAAGCCGGAAAAAATCAGAGAGCGTGTACTCCGGCATTCCTTCCAATCTTTCAGAACGAAGCGGGGCGGGACTGATTGCTAATTGGTCAGCTAAAGGTCATCAGTGTCTTAACTTTAGACTTATTAAACCTTATTGCACTTATTATTCATTCAGTTACCTAATGCACTGAAGATTGAAATTTAAATTTCGAGGCTCCAGTCATATAAAAAAATTTTAAGTGAGCAAAAGGAAGGTTAAAGGGGAGAAGACTTCAATAGCCTTTTCACTATTGGTTGATCACTTCTTCGTTTCAATAGATGCCCATAGTGAATTGCTAAAATTATAAGCGGCGCATTTGCCAATTGGTCGCTCTCCTGTAGCACTCCAACAAATTTGATTCGAATCGCTCATGAGTTATTTTGTATCATTTTACAACACGTCTTTAAAAGCATCAAAGGAGGTCATGGAATTTGGGGGAAGTTAATGCTTACTCGATGACTTAGAACAAAGTGTTCTGGCTTATTATTTTTTTGTTTCAACATCTCAAAACCGCATGTGTGGTGTGAAGAATTTCTTGAAGAAAAATAGGTGCACAGTGTCGCAGTAATGTATTTACACTCTGCCACCTGGAAACAGGAGCTGCAGATTCAGCTAAGCATCATTATGGATTCGAATTTCCAATTTAGTACCTCCTAACATCTTGGAGGGTCTAAGCAGACCCTATTAAGATTTATAGAGACTTATTCGCATGAGGAACAATTTCGGCGTATGTTAGTGAAAAGAGTAATT